TCTACGGATTTAAGTGGTTTCAGCAAACACAGAAGACGCTCGAGCGGACATTCCCGGAAATGATATTTACATTCCTATTATTATACATGGTCTATGGATAGTCATTAAACGCAGTTTGTTCTGATGAGAAGTATCGAATTTTCCATTATTTTATCAGATAAAAGGACAATTCCATTAAACTGTACCTCGGTGATCTACCGGAGTGCTTGAATACTTTTGGAGACCTCGGTTTTACCGCACGCTAAGGTCAAGGGATCATTACGATTGCCATGGACGTTTTATCCCGCTTGGATCTGTTATCTATGAACAGCCATTAACAACCTTGCTTTATTCATACGCGCCTCGTTTCGGCTAACAAATTGAGTCGACACAAATTCCTACCCAGGACTCAAGTTCTTACGATTCATGTCAAGGAATCGATCACCGAGATTCTGTTGACTCTAGTAACCCTGTCTATTTCTCAGTCCGTACGTGTTGACCTATCAACCCAACACCTGTTACTGACTACCCATTATGACTAGAATTATTTCATACAGCGGTCCTCAGATGTTCTCCGCTATCGCTGGTAAGACGAGCCAAGCGGACTTTAGCTTCGTCTTAAGATCATCGAATNGATTTCTCTGATTTGTACAACAGAAAACTGTTCCACGGAGAATCACGGGCCCCTCCATCGGGCCTTCTGGATTAATATGAAAAAACACATACCGTGCGATTACGTGATCTAAACTAACATGCGTATACCAAGGCGACCGGGTGTCATCATAGGTAGACGACAGCAATGTGTTCGTTTTTTACGGATTTTGAGCGTTGGTGGGACGATGGACGTGAAATAACACTCGCGGATTCCAAACAGGGCAGGAAATCTTCGCTGAACTACGACAAACTACATGTGTATTGGAGAAATCACCACGGTGTGGTCTTGCATTTTTTCGTGCCCGTTTCTCCCTATTTGGTGCTTCCACGCCAGTTGATCAAAGGTATATTCCCGCGAATTCTGCGATCAATTTGTGGTGGTATTTACTACCCGTTGATTGAAAACTTTGGGCTGCGTCCACCCGAATAGGGAGTTGAGGAAACGTGATGGACCTCAAGATTTTGTAGTGGAACTCAGCTTTATGGCCACACCACTAATACCAAAACTAATCACCGGTACCGTGATCGATACATACTAGTTTCTTGAGCTTAAACTGTGTGGAGTCTGCACGTTTTCCAGTCACCTCTAACTGTAGCCTTGTTCGCTCTTTCGTGTGTGCTCAAGTTTCGCTCACCATTTCATGCAGCTAAAACTGACGCCAATGGAGAATAATAATGGACCGACTCACCTGTCAAAGGATAGGACCGCTAATCTTGGAACTCCGCATTCACTGGTAAGTCTGGAAATCGCTCCCACAGGACGAGAACGATGACTAGATCTAGAAGATCCAGTTATTCCAATTGGGAATGCAACAGACGGGGCAATATTTCAAGACACTTTGACTTGACAATCAACTGAGTTGTATGCAAACTAAACCTATGTTAAATATCCTGGTCCATAAAAGCTAGTATTAGAAGAACCACGTTATCGATAGTGAGGAGAGTTGGGATATTTCAATCGAGGTTGCGTCCCATAAGGGAAACCAGGATACGTTGCAAGACGGGGGAGCGCTGTTTTCATCCTTATTATGAATGCCCAGTGGTTGATACCAGCCAACCTTGAAGTGTTCGAAACAGCTTGGAGATGAGCACTGATGATGATCTCCAACAGGGATGATACAGCTGTACAATACTCCTCAGCTTTAACTGTGGGATGAAGTCTTGTTTGAAAGAACTAAATTAGGTTTTGATGATATAAGTAAAGTGGGAGCAAATACCGAGCGGAAATTGCCCGACTTACAGGAGATCCTGCACAGTCTTTTGTATGAGCCCTCAACCCGTCAAATAGTTATTCTATTAGCTAGCTTACTTCCCTTAATGAGTCATTCCAAATGGGAGAAACCTAGGCTATCTCTGGAGAAGTCCTTGCTGATCCCACATTGGAATGTGGTGGAGTGGACGTCAAAATTTGTGCAGCATATGTGTGACTGAGTAAGAAGGGGTGTAACACACACTTGAGTAAACTCACAGTTTTGGGTCTTCAGAACTCTGCACGGACTTCCCGTTAAAATTTCATAAAACTTAGTATTGAACCGGTTAAGAAATAATAAATAAATCAGACTTCTTAACAAAGTAACGGCTCATTGCTAAACAGGGCTTCGTTTATCTAAATTGTTCGATATGGTTCGGCGGTTAGGGGGACAGACGGCCGTCGTTCGAAGACAAACTCAGCTTTGCGATTGCTCTTGTTTAGGCGTGGACAATCTGACATTATCCCAGTCTTCATAATTTGATTAGTGCTACGGTTGAAGGATTATTATTTATTTATTTATTATTTATTTTATAATTATTACTTATTCCTTTGCCCCTGTTATTCTTCTTTAGTTGTCGGATCGCGAGTGAAAACGTCTTAGTTCCTGCAGCCACAGCAAGAAAAATTGATGGGGTGTTGCACTTTAGATGGCAAGAAAATGTACTTCCATGAGTGGGTGAAACAGTTATGAAGGTGACATTTTTTTTCGTGTTGTTAAGATATTCGCCTTTTGAAATATTACTTACTTCTCCCGGACACTGTGATTGTGCATCGATAAACTGCTTAAAAATCCACTAGAAACTGCTTTTATGGAAACTGTAGTTGCTTTAAACCTTTTAACGAATGACTTTTCAACCTTTTTCAGTTCCGAGAGTGAATTACCGAGCTTTCGGTCTTGAATTCTTCTGAATACAGTGATGACGAAAGTGTACTTATGTGATACGTACTACTCTGGCTGACAGTCAGAAGCCCCGTGCAGGATGCATGCAGATGGAAGCTTCTACGGATTTAAGTGGTTTCAGCAAACACAGAAGACGCTGGAGCGGACATTCCCGGAAATGATATTTACATTCCTATTATTATACATGGTCTATGGATAGTCATTAAACGCAGTTTGTTCTGATGAGA